TATTTTACCTATGGAATAAATAATCTTTGACTTTGACTTTGACTTTGGTTACTGAAAAGTGTGCGTAACCGTTGGTTTGCCACCCATACTGATGTCCGCGAACTAAAACGTTTGTCACTTACAAAATATTTTTTTGAGATATCACAAAAAACCGTAACCCAGTTTTAGAATATTGAAATTGTTTAATGATATCATTAACGTAAGTTCCGATAAGTCGAACACGTTAACTAATTTCAACTGTTTTTAAAAGTGAATTTTGTGCTGTATTTTTTGCTATTTAAAACGGTTATTTGACTATTTGTCACTTTGTTTTAACGTTTTAGTTAGTGGACGGCAGCATAGAGGTGGAATATTTCCTTCACATTTAAATGGAACCAATACTAAGGTACCCTCTTTCCAACAAAAAAAAAAAGAATCATCAAAATTGGTTCACAAATTGAGTTATCGCGTAACATAGGCCGAGCGTTACGAAACGCGGGAACACTAAAATCCTTTGCCCACCGTACCGAACTTGCAACTACAAATCCGCGGGTAATAGGTCCCCGATTCTACGAACATCTACCCACCTGAAAAGTGTTAGAAACGATGAAACGTTTTGTACCCGACTAAAAATCCTTTTATTGGATATTGAATTGTACAGTGTCGATGAGTTTCTTTTGAAACAATTTTAATTTTATTTTATTCGACAAGCAGTAGTTATACTACTTTATTTTATATTCATTATTATTATTATTATTTTGTTACTGACGATCATAGTTATCCCTTGACATTGTATTTCCAATTGTAATATTGTGACATTGATAACATGAAATAAACCATTCTATTCTATTCTATTCTATTCATATATACAAAAAAAAACAGTCAATTGAGAACTCATTCAACAATTTGAAGCCGGTTAAAAATAGACAAAACAGGTTGATAACTTTGCCATTTATTTTGTAGTAGAGCTTCTTGTGAAAGAGTACCTCTTCGTATTGATGACCTCCGTGGTCAAGTGGCTTGCACACAGGTTATCATGGTGTCACCATCTCTGGCGTCACGGGTTCGATCCCTAAAAAACTAATTTTTTGTATTGTCTCGGGTTGTCTTGAAGTACAGTCGTGGTTTCCGATTTCCATAACACAATGCTTTAAGTTCCTTACTTTGGAATTAGAGCAACGTATGTTTTGTTGTCTAACATTTGTCACGGAGTTCGTCCGGATAAGCAATTAGAGGTATCTATTTTTGCCGCCAAGCAGTAATCTGAGCATTACTGCGTTCCAATTTTGAAGGGTAAGGAAGCAGCAGTGGGTTTTTTTGTAATACAAACAAGTCGTTGGCCTGGTGGTAAGTGATATGCCTATCCTGTGGCTTACTTAGAGCTTTTGATCGCAAATATCTTAGGGGCATTAACACTGTGCCCGTCACCCTGAGACATAAGTTCACAAATCCTATGTGCCTGTAATTGCACCAGTTCTTCCAAACTGATTTAGTACAAACATTCAGCAGGTGTTGATTCAAATAAATAATAAATATTTGCTTAAAAAGAAATTTAAAAAAAATCGCAGTTTTACCGGCAAAATAAAATTGCTGTCACGTTTAATGTGTCCACTACAATACGACAAAACATGTCCTTGAAACTACACAGAGAGATTGTAGCTCTATATCATAATAATAATGTGGATTAAATAATGAAAATAGTTCTTAATAAGCTGCTTAAACTACGCAATTTAGTTTTTATAACCAGTATAACCTTGTCACGCAAAGCTAATTAGATTTTATCAGAACCATGTTATATCGTCAAGTACCTTTAACACGAAAGCCTACCCCAAATATGTTATAACTATAACAACATATAACACACTGTTACATAAAACTTAAGCTTTCTGTACACTTAATGTAATAAATGTATTACGTCATTCGTAAAGTACAAAATCTAATTTTGCAAAGCATAACAATGTTAGTGTTAATATAATTCAATTTAAAACAATAGCCGAAAAGAACTTACCACTTAAACTGCCGTAGTTAAAAAAAACACTTTCTTGTCAAACACAGCGCATTGTAGTTTGGAATTCAAATTGAATTGTTGTAATCGAAAAAAGAACACGATTTTATTTTTAAAGAATTATTTACAATTCTATTTACAGTTCTGTTAGATTTTCTTCTTACTACTGAGCGGGACTTGAAACGTCAGTCTGATCCGCATATTTTTTACGCATGCGCGTTCAATATGGCGGTTTGTCGGGTCGATAGCTGGCAGCTTGATAAGGTATCGTGAAGGCTGCGCCCCCATATAGTGTGACATTGTGGAAACGGGGTAATGTTTGAAAACGAGGTCACGGTTTCATATTAGCCCGCGTTTCCGGATCTGGGGATACCAGCGTAAAAATTGTGTTCCTTTTACAAAAATATAAATGGAATGTTTATGAAAACAGTATTCTTGATTTGCTTAATATGCTAGTGTGTAATTTAGGTTGAGGCATATGTATTGTTTGCAAAACTATTTTACTTATTTTTGCCAAGCAGTAATATGAACATTACTGCATTCCGGTTTTGAAGGGTAAGGTTGCTGGAGAACTTACAGCACATGGGACTTGTCAACTTACATCTCAGGGTGACAGGCGCTGCGGCAGTGTCCCGAAGATTTTTACGATTTAAAGCTCTGAGTGGCACTGCAACTGTTATGGACAGGCATGTCGCTTACCACCAGGTGCACGATTTGTTCGTCTCGTCATTTGGTATTATACAGGTCAGTTGTTGGCGCTGTACTATTTCAGCTTTCTAATTTGTATTTTCAGTGCATCGAGTATATAACCAGAAATAGAGACGAAATGATGGCCATATATTCCTGGTAATACAGCTCTTGTAAACATCAATTCTCGTTTGCACTGAAATATAGACTGGCCAACTACTGACCTGTGAGTACGTCTCGGTATATTCCAAAAAATATTCTATATTTATTGTAATAAAGATAACATCTCTAACAATGCCGTGCTGTTCTATTCGGTGGTGTGGGAAAAACAGCAAAACATATAATTACAAAACAAACGGAATCACATTTCATCGTAATTAAATATATATGTAATTTTGCAATTGTCGTCCATTATAGCAAAGCTCAAGTTAACTGGTCAATTTGAAGTGAAACAGTTGACGACACCCATCAATTGTTTCGAACTCGGGCTAGCCAATCGGAGCAGTTGTCACAGTAATGATATAGCAGAATAGTTGTCAAACAAATTAAATGACATTTCGTCTCTATTTCTGGTTATATACTCGATGTTTCAGAGCAAACGAGAGTTGATACTTATAAGTGATGTTTCACTGATGAGTTGAAAGGATAAATATATAAAAAAAAAAATTCAATATTCAATTTAATCATCATCAACATCAGAATTTAAATAACGAACTTCCGAGTCGGAGACCGCATGCCCGCGTAACCGCGATAGTATTTCCCGTCCCCGCGCGCCTCTTGCCAGTACTACCAACCACACCATACCAGCCAGGCAGACTAGACCTGCTATGGTTAGTATTGTTGACTTTAGACTGCTGGAATGACCTGGAGAATTAAAAACATTTTTATGTGTTAAATTATAATAAAAATAACTAATAAGAAAGTTTAATTTTTCTTCTTATATTAAGTAAGAAATGAATTGCAATATTTATTTATGTTTCTTGTGAAAGTACTTCACTGGTTTATTGTTATTTATTAATGCATGATTATTAGAGATGAGGTATGGATAAGAGTTTTTGATATTTTAATGAATAATTTCTCTATGAGAGTGCTGCAGTTCTTCGTGTTTGGTTTTAACGGCTTTTTTGCAGTAGCGCCACCTGTGAGAAATCTATGAAAGGAATAAATTTATTACAATGAATCATAAGAATGACCTCTAGACGTAAGTGCAACAACAATACACAACACTGCACTTAGAAATATGACCATGAATGTTTAGTATTTTCTTTAGAAATCTTGCATTGTCAAGAAGATAATAGACAACCGTTGGAATGTGAGAAGTCACCAACACGATGTAGTTCAACGTGGGAGAAAAGATAGTTAGCTCAGTATGAATAATATTTACTTATAATTAGGGTTTTCAATTTCGCTGCAGGTGATGCAGTTTCGGGAAAAAAGTCGAGACTCGGAGATATCTCTAAAATACAGGGAAAAAGTATACTTTCGAGGATATTTCAAATGTAAGTAATACCTTATAGTCTAAACGTTTAGGCTGTCGAAATATGAGATCTTAATCAAGTTATTTATTACAACAAATTATTAATTACTTATGAAAGTTTTTATTTTTATTTTTATTGTAGGTAGGCACGAAAAAAACAAAGGGCGTTTATTAGTATTTGAGATAGAGAGGACAAGATTTTATTCATATCTCTCTTCAATCTCCAAAGATTATATTAAGCTCACACTGTGTTGTTACGTCCATGTAACCGGAATAAAGAAATTCTGATGGTTTATTAAGTTTTTAATAAGTACTGCTTAATTAACCCACTTGTCACGAAATTCCTTGTTTTCATCAATTTCTTGTCATTTTTTTTATATTTACGCTAGCATAACTATAACAGAAAAAATACAAAAAAAAATCTTCGAACTACGGGAAAGCCAGAAAGTGGTGTTTGGTATACGGAACACCAGTATTATAACCGTCTGTACCTATCTATAAAATTAATAGACTACGTTTTATCTCCGTGTAAAGAAATTAATATATAATTCTAAAAATATGGTTTACATTCTTGTATTTAATTTACTCAAACATTTATCAGAAAACGTCCAATAGATTCTCTCCAGATTTCGCTTGACATGGCTGAAACCAAGTAAAGTATCCAAGACGAGTAGCTCCGACCCAAAATTTAAAGCTTGTCGTACCTACTGGTTTACATGAGTGTCCTCCTTATCATGGAATTGATCTTGGTCACACTTAGTCAATACTACGTTATTGTTCATGTAGAGCAAATTTATCTACCAACATTTTTATACACTGTTATGGGTGACACTTGACTTGTGTGGGCGAGTGGCTTGCATACCGGTTTTCATAGTGTCGCCATCTCTGAGGTCCAGGATTCGATGCCCAGCCGGGTCAATGTAGGAGCTTTTCTATATTGTCTCGGGTCTGAGTGTTTGTGGTATCGTCGTTGTTTCCGGTTTTCATAATACAAGTGCTTTAGTTACGTCTTTTGGAATCAGAGCAACGTACGTGATGTTGTCTAATGTGTCTCAAAAGTCGCGATGGTCCCAAGACTGAAAACTGTCTTAAGTCTCGAGAAAACCAAAAAATCATCGAAATTTTCGAGACCAATAATCCCGGAAATAAAGCCCTATTTATAATACAAACACTGATGGCTCCGACTCAAAACCCATTGTGCTTGCTGATGACCCACACAAAGTCTATTTCACTCGCACTGTATCCGACTAGCGACGGGACGAATTATGTTTTTTTCAATTCGTGTTACTCGAGTTGGCGTGACTGCTAGCTCGAGATGCAACTCTAGTTGACTCGACTCGGTATCTGACAGAGCAACCGCGAGTGGAACTCGAACCGACGATTCACGGAGTTGGACACGATCGGCCGGCCGACCGCGAGTCGAGCTTGCTCCGAAGGTCGTCGAAACGACCGAATGAGAACGAGTGGGTATTTGGGAAACGAACCGAGTTAGCTCGAGTTCACAAAAAGTACTTCGACTTGACTCGTGGCAGTTTCTCGAGTTAAATAACTCTACATGCCCATCACTCGCGACTCGAGCGTGCTCCGAAGGTCGCCCAACCGACCGCCGAGTGGGAACAAGTAGCCGATGGGCTGTATAAATGAAGTATTCAGCTCGGACGACGCGACGGGGCGAGTTCTTAAAAAAGTAGCTCGAGTTGACTCGTTGTGGGAGTAATTCGAGTTAATCGAGTTAAATAACTCGACTCGCCCATCACCTGCTAAAGGCAACAAATAGTAATAGACACCGTTAATATGACGCCAGTTTGATATTTTATTGGTTTTTGTCATTGACTCAACAACAAGTAGAAGAGCACTGATGGTAAAAGTAAATACTGAAGCTACTATCTCAAGGTTTAGAATTTACTATCGGCTTTTGGTGAAAATCTTACTTACTCTTTGGTTCTTCTGAATTCACCAACATATCTTTACCCAGCTCTACATTTTCTTTCTTCATCACTCTCTTAGTAACCATTGTGACTTGAGGCTTTACCGTTGTTACTACTTTAGTAGTTCTTTTGGTTGATGTGGTTGTCACTGGTTTCACAATTTTGGTGCTACTTTTTATGATGATACCACTTCCGTTAATAATTTTCGGTGTAGTTTTAAAAATCAATGTTGGTATTTTAGTAGTAGTTCTTATTGTGGTAGATCTTTTCGTTGTTGTAGACGTGGGTTTAGTAGTCGTTTTAGGTGTGGTTGAAGTGGTTTTTAATGTAGTTGTGGTAGGTTCTTGCGTGGTTGTTGTGGTAGGTGTGGTTTCTGGGGTTGTTGTAGGTTTGTTTGTCGTTGTGGTTGTCCATAGAACCAATTTTTGAGTTTCTGGCATATCGTCGTCTGTTGATGGTGAACCTGTAAACCGTAAATAATTATTTACCAAGTTGCAGTAACGATGTTAAGTACAACAGTGTAAAACTCGAACTAAATATCTAAATATATGTATATGCTTACAAGGTACTTCAATTAATATTTCGTATAATATAAAGCCAATTTGGAACGTTATGTAGGTGTATGCTAACGGGCATAGGTACAAACAACGTATAAACAAAAAGCTTTTTCAAACTCAGTTGTAGGCGGGTAGCTGCAATTTCTTTCGAGTCCGGTTTTAAAATATAATTGAAATTATAATATCAAAACTTACTAAACACGCAGATTTCATAATAGTCTGGGCAGCAATTACTGTCTGTTTCGCAGGAGGGATTGCATCCACAACCAATTAAAACTTTTGTATGCTCGCTTTCGCAACGACCGGTGCAGGAGTCGGCTGTCGATAAAAAAGAATTATATATTTCGAAGATTTAACAAAAAAGTCCCGCGTTGTACACCAAATATTTCACACAACCATAATCTAGAATGTTGACTGTTACTTTTTAACAAAGAGAAATTAGTTTAAAGAAATTAACATTCTTTCAATGCGTAGTGGCATTACAGAGCCATTATGAAGAACTATGAACGATAATACTTTTATAATACAAACAAAAATAAAGTGGCTGTTCTTGACAGACTCATTTAAGGGGTATAAGATTTATGATAATTTTAAATAACTATTCAAAACTATAAATAAATAGGTTTAAAACTATTCTGAAACATTTTTTTTCTTTTCGTACAAAAGGTTATACAGTAGTTGCACACTAGGGGGACAAAAACTAATAGCAATAAGGCATCTTTTGGATGACCTCCGTTTGTTAATGTTAAACGTGAATAGATATTTACAAAGAGTAACTCCAAGGGTTGATGGGAGAACGAATCTCCGGACCCAGTGTTGTGGGATAACTAAAGCTGCAAGACTCCGCTGGCTCGGAGACATGGAGAGAGTGGCAGAAAATTGTGCTGCGAAGATAGCTTATTTGGGACAGTCGAGTGGACGCTGACCGGTCGGATGTCTTAGAAAAATCTCAAGGACCTCGGTGCTAGTGGCTGGAAAAGGCGAGCGCTTCGCACTCTAACTGCCGCCCTAACGGGTCATGGTTCATTTAATAAACACCTTTTCAATTTAGGTATCACAGGCAGCCCTCTATGCAGAGCGTGCATGGAGGAGGAGGAAACGGCTGCGCACATCCTACTACAGTGCTCCGGCGTGGCCAACTACAGGGCGAAGTACCTTGGAGTGTCAAAGACGCTCCTCGAAGTCTTCAGCAAACCGAGGAGGCTGCTGAGATTCCTGGAGGAGCTTGGGTGGTACGAGTAGGACCCTGGCGCACACCAGCCCGTTACACCAAGTACCAAGTACCAAATAGTGGCTGGAACGAGCCGGCTCAGAACCGGGAGGCATGGCAGAATCTAGTGTCGTAGGCGAAAACCCACTGTGGGCCACTGCGCCACCGAAAGAAGTAAGTAAGTTGTCGATCTTAATAGTAGGTACTCACTCAATACATTCACTGGTGTGGTAGCAGATTTCATAGCGGCGGTGCAATTTTCGCCTTGCAGGATGGACACATCGTCGATGGCTATATCACTTGTGTAACTGCGGCCCCTGATGCCTTCGATTATTATCTGATTGGAATAATACATATATTGGTAAAAGACTACACTAAACCTAATTTTACAGGAGAAGGATTTAACGTTATTTCCATGGCTACGACTTTCATGTTTACACAGTAAGATCTTTGTTGTCTACGGACTCATAACAACAGATTCCCATAAATCACGCTAATTTGGTTGCAACGACATTTATGCGGATTTGATATGGCCACTAAATTACCGAAATGGAAACTTATAATCCAATGCTAGTTACGTATAATTATATAATTCCCGACGATATTATTTTATTATGATACAAAGTGGCGGAACCAACAAGTCGTGCGCCAGGTGGTAAGTGATACATAAGTTGACAAGTCCCATGTACAGAGATGGGCAGTAGGTTAAAACCCAATCAATCCGCCCGGGTTTTAATCGGTTTTTACCCAAGTCCAATTCCAGAGGTTGTAACCCATTTCTGCCCAAAATCGTGGGCAAAAACGGCGAAAACGGAATTTGGTGTAATTTCATACATCATTCACACAATAGCCACCTTGCTATCCTGGATTCTCACTATCAAGGACACATTACGATTCGATTGTTGCGAAAATCGATTCAAATTCGTACGATCTAATAATTTATTATATCGATTTAATTTAAATTCAATGTGATTTAAAGACAAATCGAGTGGTCTAGATCAGAAAGCAATAAACTTTTGTAATAATGATAATAATAATAATAACGCACAACACTCAACATAGCACTAGGGAAACCCTGTGTCGCGGGTGCCATGGACAACCACAAATTACACCCAAACTCACGAGAGAAATAATTGTAGGCCATACAACTATTTCTCCCGGCCCGGGAATCGAACCTGGAACCTCTGCGTGGCAGTCCGGCATGGTAACCGTTCGGCCACGGAGGCAGTTTAACTTAATAACATTCAATTTGAACAATACTCTGTGTAAGACACGTAATTATTTAGTTGTATATAGTTTTTACATTGGTTTTTGGTCATTAATGGGTTTTAACTTGATTTCAATGCGGCGTTAAAACAAATTGCTGAGTTAAAAGCCGGGTGCTAGTCCACCTCTGCCCATGTACCTTTAAGTTCACTAACACCTTACCCTTCAAAACCGGAACGCAGAAATGCTCGCATTACTGCTTGGCGGCAAAACTTCCCTGGACGAACTCTTTCACAAGGAGCTCTACTGCTATTAAATATGGAAGTTTATGTAACCAAGACAACTAAATGATCGCTTTGATCGCATTATGCGTTCCACTGCTGCGCAAGAGTCTCCTCTGATTTAGACCACAGTTCGCCACAAAGTCCAATGCAAATTTATTTACTTTAAGTAATTTAGTAATTACGTATTGTCTACATCATTACTTATTAAAGTGTTCTTAAATCTGAGAAAAACTCAAAATAACTAGTTTAGTCTACAGACACGAGTAACGTTACAAATAATTTTGTACACATTATATTTACCTGAAAGCTCTCAGAAAACCCACGAAGCGGGGTCACAGCTTCGTACCAGAAGTCACCTTGATTGCCCCATTTCTCAAACAGGAGGTACTTCTGTCTCTCTTCAATGTTAAGGTGGAGCACATTCAGCATTGGCAAGCTTTCTGGTTTCTGGTAAACGCGGAGACCTCCAGTACCTCTGGAAAATTGGAGATCAGCTTTCAGTTTTACTCATAACATATGTACTTTGTGTTGAAAAATTTCAAAATAAGACCGGCGCCAGACTTTGGTGCGAACTCAAACATATTTTTTTTATTTCAACGGTAAGCAAATTACAATTCAAATAGTCACAGTGACGACTATTATGAATAAGAACAGCTAGCCATAGCTAGCCAGCCTTAGTAGCAGTAGAGTTCCTAGTGAAAGAGTTGGTCCAAGGAAGTACTGCCACCTTACCTATTTCTGCCGCCAAGCAGTAATGTCAGCATTACTGTGTTCCGGATTTGAATGGTAAGGGTGCTGTTGAAATTACAGGCACATGGGACTTGTTTACTTATGTCTCAGGATGGCGGGCGCAGTGGCTGTGCCCCTCAGATCTTTGGGATTTAAAGTTCTAAATGGCACTACAACTCCAACAAAAGTCCAAAAGTCCTCCTTCATGAAGGTCGACAGATGTTGAGTTGGTACTCTCACCACAAATGAATTAAAATTCACCTTGTGGCGGGACTCTAACTGCTCGACTCTCAGGGCAGCTTTGGCTTTCACCCGCATGTACTCCACAATATCCGCAGACTTTGTGGAGTAACATCGATGGTAACAGTCATCGGTACCACTGGGCAATAGATGGCTGGGGCCAATCGGGGTGCCACTAAGGTTACTGGTAGTGTACTTCTTTTCCTTTTCCACCTTTTTGAAGCCGTCCTCGTTGCACTGGTCTACTGCTCTCGGTGGTACTGCCAGCTCCAAACATGAGTTTCCGCTTTATCTTACGTTGTTGTATTATGTAATGTTAATAGTACTCGTATTAATATTAATTCTTTAAACTTCTTTCTCCTAAGTCTTCCAAACGCTTTGTGCTACTTGTAAAAATCAATAGTCTATAAAACTTCTAATAATAGCTTTATACTAAGCACCTCCTACTTGCTACTATTTTGGGAGACCTCTTTTGCTTCCTTCATGCTCAACATTTTTACTTAATCATTTATTCTTTGTACCATTGTCATGTTTTTAAGGACATCCTTAAAAACGTATTACGTACGTAAGCAAGGTCTTAACATTCAAAGGGAATAAATCGGTAACTTTTCGATTTATTCATTGTAAAGATCGTTTTTGTATTATATTAGGTATAATGGCACCCATAAAAAGCACCTTGTAAATGATCCAATTTGCTTGTGAAATTTATATTTCAAACTTCACGTTTTCTTTTTTTTTATACCAATTGACGGGACGAAGAAGTCGTGCGTCTGGTAGTAAGCGACATGCCTGTCTGTATGTAGTTTTCAATCTTATAGCGTCCAGCCTGGTAAATTCAAGTAAACTTTTGTTTATCATTTTTAAATCAGTTGTGTCTGTTAGACAATCCTCTGGATGAAAAGTAGTTATCAACGCTTGACAAAATTATTTCCTAGCTAAGCAAATAACACTTGAAATTGTCACATGATTAACCGCTACTGCGCATTCGTAAGGCACGTCGAGAAAGATGAGTTAGAAACTCTAGGCGTTGCCACATTTATCATTTACAATATTTATTTCAAATATCATAAATCGAAACAATCTGAAAACGCTATACGGATCACCATGGAATTTAGTCATACAAAGGGAGTAACCATATCGTAAATGCGTTGCCGATGGGACACCACAAATTTTAAATCCTGAATTGCTGAATTGCTGAAATGAATTCCTGAATTGCGTCGGTCGGAAGCGATGGAGAAGGAATGGTAACATTTTCTGTGTCTAAGTCTTTGAAGATATATTATTTCCGGAGAAAATAGCTTTTTTTATGATACCAAGTGACAGGAGGAACAAGTCGTTCGCCTGGTAGAAAGCCTGTCCATTACAGTTGCATTGCCACTCAGAGATTTAAAACGCAGAAGCTGAAGAAGCAGCAGTTGACAAGTCTCATGTGCCTGTAATTTCATCAGCACCCTTCATCATTCAGCCATACGACGCCCACTGCTGGGCATAGGCCTCCCCCAACGATCTCCACGACGATCGGTCCTGCGCTGCCCGCATCTATCGGTTTCCCGCGAGTTTTACCAGATCGTCGGTCCACCTGGTGTCCTACCCACTGAGTATCGTCCAGTGCGCGGTCGCCTTTGAAGAACCTTTCCGCCCCAACGGCCATCGGTTCTCCTCGCTATGCGCCTCGCCCACTGCCACTTCAGCTGAGCAATTCTTCGAGCTATGTCGGTTGCCTTAGTTCTCCTACGGATTTCCACATTTCTGATTCCATCACGTAGGGAAATACCGAGCATCGCTCTCTCCATTGTCCGCTGAGTGACTTTGAGCCTTCTTATGAGGTCCATAGTGAGAGACCACGTTTCTGATCCATATGTGGTCACTGGCAACACACACTGGTCAAAGAGTTTCGTCTTGCACCAGCACCCTTACCCTGCAGTAGTGCCCGCATTACCGCTTGACGTCAGAAATAGAGAAGGTGGCAGTACTTCCTTGGACAAACTGTTTCACAAGGAAGTCTATATATGTGTCACATTACAGACTTCAAAGAAAACAATGCTGTGAGTTGGGACTGAAAACCAGAAACTTACTGTCCAAACATGTGATAGAAGAAAGAGAAGCAGCCATCTTTCGCAAGCGACGACTCGTACAGTGGTGATATCAGTCGAGCTGTGTCATTTTCCAATCTTGATGTGCTCTCTATGTACATGTAGTGCCCTGCAAGAAAAACGAGGTTTTTAAAACATTCCGCTGTCTCGGTGTAACATTCACTATAAAGCTGCCACAATACCTGAACCACCTTCTCCATAAGTATGATCAAAGGAAGGTCCAGTGTTAAGGAAAGAGCTTGGTGTCTTCTTGTTCAATCTCTTCCAGTCGAAGTCGTGTAGCTCATCGTCCACCCATCCGCAGTTATTCGATTCTTCAAAATCGCAGCTCAGTTTCGTAACGGTCTTTGCATCTGAGTATAGGATAACAGAAATTTATAGGTTTGAACTCATAGAAAAATTCACGCAATATCAGGAAATGAAACTATTTTTCCGGATTTAATTAAAATTTTAGTCGACCGTGACTACGGGACCTGTAAAGGGCCCGAAACGTTGGTTTGTTTGAAAAAACAATTATACGCGATTTAAATCCGAAAAAATAGTTTCATTTCCTATGTGTAACAATCGCGAAAACTGAAAGATTTTTAGTCTAGCTACATTTCCGCGTTCCCGAACCAAAATGAAGACTTGGTAAAAAATGAGACTTTCTAGACTATTTTAAAAATTGGCTGCCATACTTATAGATAGCCTTGCCAGGTCTTAAAACCGAATAGACGGACAGACCAGCCAGTTCAACTGGACATTTGGGTAGAAACCGAACACCCAACATTTTTTATTTAATTTTTTTTTCCGACAAATTTATATTTTTAACTATTAACAATCTTAATCTCATTCTTCTTAATCTTTATCATTACATTCAGGGCAAAATATCTTTCTGTGTCTGAACTAGATAATTAATTTTCTGTATTTCAGACACCAGCGCTTTTCCGTGAATACGGTAAATTGGAACAAATTTCAAAAATAACATTGTCTTCAAAAGTAGGCCTAAGTTTTAGTTTACTTGTAATTTAACGTATGTAGGGTCTGTGAGTAGAAGGAAAATGTTTGAATGTGTGCGAAAGTGTGAATTGAAGTTGCTTCGTCTGTGCGGTTTCTTGAAATTATATGAAAAACGTCTGAAACAGCTAGTTACGAGTTGCCAGTTGCCGAAACTCGATGATCAAAGTTGCTCCATCTGCGCAGCGCCTTAATCTTTAACGTGCACGTGTAAGGGCACGATGTGAGGTCAGTCTTCGTTTGAATGGCATCGCAACAATGTGGACTCCAATAAACTTAAATTTACTCTCCGCTCTAAGGGTCGTACTCTAGAACTCTAATGCTCAAGTCAGGATTTGAGCAGACTTGAGTATGATTTCCAGTGCTTTGAATCATACTCAAGTCCTGACTTGAGCATTGAGTAGAGTTCTAGAATACGACCCTAAGTGTTACTGCACACTCATACTTTAATTAATTTGTGGTAAGAGTACCACCTCTACATCTGTTGCCTTTCATAAAAGACGAGTTTTGGCCGAAGGAAATGTACAGACGTTTCCGAGGCTGGCTACCGGACACCCCCGCTGCGTCACAGTACGTGTAAATAATAATTAGACATTAGTGTTTTATTATATGTATGTTAGTCTATAATATATATAAGGTATTAGGTATGTATTTGTGGGTAAGGTATGTGTTTGTAACCTGAATATAAATAAAATGAAAATGAAATGAAAAATAATTCGGATCGATGGTCTTCCATTTACTATTGTGCGCAAGAACATGATAATCCTTACCACCACAAGTAGGAACCGTATCATTCCATTTCTTCCCATCACAGAATATGGTCGAAGATCCACTAAGTTCGTAACCAGGGAAACAGAAGAACACTACCCAAGCCTCTGAATGAGATTGCATTGCCAGCACGTTGTATCCTAAATCAGGAAGAGTGCATCCTGGTTCTGGAAGTACAAAATAGATTACTTATAACAATTTAACAACTTTAGCTCTTGTGTTTTTGTATAATTTGTCGGGAGACAATAAAAATCAGTCATTTTGGTTTCGATAAACATTGCCAAAGAAATACTTTTGTATCTCCGCCGTTCCCTCAAGAGGTGGTATAGATGCCACTTGAGTCTGTGTTCTGTAAGTACTACACAAAATCTATTACTCTGGCAACTGATATGGTACAGCTAATGGGAAAATAGGACACGAAGCGTCTCGTGACGCTTCCACATTTATCGACCATGAAGTAAAATTTCCTGACTTATTCCCTGAAGGCCATAACTTGGGCCTTTTGGTGGCGAGATTGAATAAGTATTATTTAGGCGTGCACATTTCATCGTCGACCTTATCGTCACTTTCCAACAGGTGAGATGGAAGACAAATGTGCACTTATATTTGTTATTAAAAAAAGTAAAATAAAATTTTATTTAAATTAAATTAATACTTACTGATACAAACTGGCATAGGCACGTCCCATTCTCCATCTCTACAAGTAGCATATTTGTTCCCTACAAGTGTGTACCCTGGGAAGCAGATGAACTTCACCAGTTTACTTTTCTGCCGCATCCGAATACGACCGTGGCTGAGACGTGGGTATGGACACATGCGCGTTGCACCGAACTCTAAGAAAGAACATTTAAGACATTCAGCTGAGCTGGCAGAAAGAATAAAAAGTAATAATTACCAGGATCTCGGCTCCAACTACCTATTTGCAGCCTTTGGAGCCGAAACCTTTGGCCCGTGGGGTCCAGCGCTCTCCATCTCTACAAAGTTTTATCCAAAAAATTAATAGACTGTCTGGAAAACCCAAGGGCATAACTTGCCCAACGCATTAGCATAGCCATACTAAGCTACCAGCATCTTGGGACCCACTTTTGCTCTTATAATTTAAAAATAGTAGTTTTACTTTTTAGTATTTAAGCTTTTATTGTACCTTACCCGTATATTGTAAATATGATTGAAATAAAATATTTGTATGAAAATAATTAAATCAATATACTTAATAAATAATAATACAAGTTTCAGCATCTCAACGTCTTAGTGCCATTTTGTGTTATTATATTATAAATAAATATTTTCTAAAAAGCAACTTGGTCCCACGTTGGGCGCCAAAACAAAAAATGTTAAAATAGTCCTTACATTGTTCTAACACATATAGTTTAATATGGAAGTCGTACAATTTTTTTCTCTAGTATGAAATGTACTTCGACTTGTTACTGCTTCTTTTTTAGATGAGTCTTCAAACGTCTAAGGCTCAACACACACTGGCGCAGAGTCGAAGCGTCGCGTCGCGTCCTGTTTTTCAACTACACCGCCTGGCGACACGCGTCGACGCGTGAAGCCGCTAGGTTCCATATTTGCAAAACACAAATTTGTACCTTAATAATGGGAGAATATAGATGAATATGCTATAAGCGAAAAACATGACGCGTCGCGACGCTTCGACTCCGCGCCAGTGTGAGTTGAGCCTAACGCTTCATCGTTAATTTACACCTATAAAATGACGAAGTAATTATTTAACTAAATTTTAAATGGTGTTTTAGTAAAACCATAAGTAGGTACTTTGCTGTTTTGCAAACAAAACGTTAGCACTTCAAATTTTAATTTAAAGCTTCAAATTGCGAGCTACGACTAACGGAATGCGCAGTTTGCGTGGGGGCAGGCTATTTCTATAGCTTTAAATCTAATCTACTTATTTGCTTATCCACTAACTTGATGATTACTTAACAGCTGTTAGCTTAGTTTAGTAGCAATAGAGCTCATTGTAAAAGAGTTCCTCCAGGGAAGTACTGCCTTACCTATTTCTGCCACCAGGCAAAAATCTGCGTTCCGGTTTTGAACGGTAAGGAATCTTGTGAATCTACAGGCACACGGGACATGTCAACTTATGAAGTGTCAGTGCACTTCGGATCTTTGCTATTTAAAGATCTGAGTAGCACTAAAACTGCTACAGACAAGTTTGTCGTCTACCACATATCCCGTTACTTGGTGTAATAAAAAAAATGTTAATAGCTTCGTCAATGAATAGCGTCAACCAAACTCTCACCACAACCCTAAACTATCATTTTAAGTACATGTAGGTAGAGAACATTGATTGTTATTTTCGTAAATAACCACAATTAATACACCATAATCGAACTAAGTGTCGCCGCGAATAAAAACAATTTTGTGTCATAATAAAGTTTATCTGCCGGACGTTCGTGTTCTTCCGCTGCGCAGGGCGTGGGTTGCTCTCAGTGACCTAAGCTTTGAATTCAATGTTTCACTAAATAATAATTTCGTAGGTCACTCTTTGAGTTTTATAAATAAGCTACAATCATTGACCTGCTACATCTTCTTTCTCATATTCTTCATTATAGTAATTTTTATTAGTAAAGATCGTATCTGTCTTGAAATATGTTCCTGATCGTTCGATATAGGACCTTACAAAAAGCGGCAGTTACTAGCCCTGTGGAGTTTTCATCGCAGAAAAGTAGCCTGCTTGTCAGTTTTCTATCGGAGTGTGCGTAGGAACTTTCCAATTTAGTTCCACCCTCACCGTTCCTCCTTCGGTCGACTAGAACGTCCGTAACACTCCATTCTTATATCGTTGTTATACCAAACATTCGCACTAAGCTCTTTGTTTCCTCCTTTCTGATGCGTACGGCAAAGGATGGAATGCTCTACCGGCATCTGAGTTTATCGAAAAGTACAATTTGGAGCTATTCAAGGCTTGATTGAATAGACATTTTTTAGGCAAACGCGTACCATCGGCATTTAACATTACATATAACATTTAACAGGCAAGTGACATTATGGCCAAGATGTGTCTATTATTTATTAAAAAAAAACTATAGTTAGTAATCCGATAGAGGTGATTTCATTTTTTTTTGAGCATACTACACACTGCGTGGACGAAATGGTACTCAATTTGTTTTACGTACGCTTTAAACAATTTAGCAGTTTAGTTTATTTCACACAGCATGGGTACGGTGACGTTTAAGATTTGAAGTGTGTGAGACGTAGTGATGTAAACGCCAATGAATAAAAATTGATTTAAATATCTTTTCGAGATAATTTGTAATGAAGAGTGAATCGATTTAGAGACAACTATTTAAGAATAAATAATAAACAAAGTGAAACGCATTAAATTATTAAGTTACTAAAAAACTACACAACTAATAAAAAAATCAACAACAGCCAGACAAAAAGGGGTCAACAAAGCATAAAATCAAGAGCAACGAAACGAAATTTGAACAATTACTCCAAAAATATCACGCAAAGCTCAAAGTAAAAGAAAACTAAGACGTGAGATACATAATAACCGATTCGATTTATCGATTCTATGGTGTAAATCTCTATGGATAAATATCCCTTTTTACGCATCAAGTAATCGGGGTAATTTATTTTTATCTCTGTCAAATCATTTTCTATCTACTTGATACACTGTAATTTTTACTGAAAATTACAACTGCAACAAATATTATATGTTTATGGTACATTGTAACTTTGCTATTTCTATTTATAACCTGGTCGAGAGGCTTGCTAAAAATAGTCTGCGTACAATGTAAAAATTGGAAATGTCACTATATAATATACAGACTAAATCCACTAATAAATAATAAGAAGAAGACCTTGGCTATTTCTGCCCCAAAGAGCTCTTATTACTGCGTTCCGGTTTTAAAGGGTAAAGAGTGGTGATAAAATTGCATGACACTTATCAACTTGTGCCTCAATGGCATTGCCCATCAGATCTTTGCTGTTTAAAGATCTGAGTGGCACTACAGCTGTTCTGAGTTGGTGTGTCGCTTCCCACTTGGCGCACGGCTTATTCATCTCGTTTTTTGGTATATATAAAAAAGTCTGAGCAATGTATTATTACTCATCGCATCCGAAGATTAACTATTTATTTTAATTTTAAAAATCTGGAGTTTTATAGTTCAACTATTTTAGTTTCATCTAACATTTTCCTCGCTATGGCGAGGTAAAAAGTTGTGTTTCGCTCGGCAGAAAAATTGTTTTGCGTCTCGTGCCTTGAAACCCTCGCTTCTCAGGAATATACTTTTGAACAATCAATTCAATCTTAGCTTCCTTCGCTTGCTCAGGGGGGTGATTCACGTAATCACACCGTTACGATATGGTAGCGATTTAGTCGTTGAACTGCTTTTTCGTATTCACGTGTGACAGTGAACGTCAACGAGTTCAATTTTAAAGTCGTTCGATCCAAATGTCGTTAAAGCGTATTCTGCTTAGACTATGGAAACTAAAGGACATGTTACGTTGACATATATAAATCAGACGTTATATGTATATGATGCATTTCAAAGTCTTTGTTTAACTATTACGTGCCGTCTTAAGCCAAAAGAGATAGCATTACATTGGTCTGTGTCAAACACCGGAATCGAAAATACGTAAGGTCATCTTAAATGCCAACCGTGTCCATTTCGCAGTACATGAGGTACATGATACCGTTGTCAAAGGGAAGTACATCAAATGTCAAAACAAATGTTTTTCCAAATGTACTATTGAATTATTCGCATGTATTATAATTAAATTGTACAAAAATATTGACAGTGAGAATAATTAGATATTAATAAAAATGCGACGCTGCAGCATTAAGGGATGTGGCTTTAGAAAAAGTGCAAATCAATCGAACGTTACATTGCACAGGCATGTGTTATTTTTTTGTCTATAAATCGCACAATAGCCCAAATATTTCATGTAATTAGACTTATTTAAGTAGTTTATATATAAATCTTGCCAAATTTTGCTTTTGTTACTTTAGATTGCCTGTTTGTTTGTATATTTTGATGATTGTTGTTAACGATTATTTTGAGATAGTGTTGATCTTGTAAGGTATGCTTACAAATATTAGTAATAAATAATATTATCGATATTCTGTTATTAAAACAATTCACTACGAGCTTTTTATTGTTTTATTATTATTATTTTTATTATTTCAAGTTTTCCTACAAATGAAAAAATGAAGAAAGAATGGTTGGAAAAGACGAAACTTTGCATAAATATTTTACAATAATTTTTTTTAAGATTTGCTTCATACTTGAATATTTTTCATTTATATAAAAATTGTACACTGACGAAGTCGTGGGGAAAAGCTAGTACATGACAATTGTTGATTTCCGATAATCAATTATCGGTCAAGTATCAATTATTTTACAACTACTTTCATTATTTCTGTGTTAAAATTGCTTGATAGATTCATTTGCTTAAGAAAGCCCGGGAATTAACGGGAATACTAGAATCCGCAGAAACCTGAATAGATTTGTATTTGACAGTTAGTTAAAAGACGTTACGTAAATATGTACTAAAATGTAGGTTGAAGGTGTACCTCTTAAAGTAATTTTTATATTTTATTTAGTAAGTGCAATAAATACTATGTAATGTTGTACACCAGTAAAGTAGGTATGATTAAGTAAGAATGCGCATGTCGCCAACAAACTGCACAGCAGTTTGGGGACTTTTACTACATAAGTTACCAATTGTAATCTTGAAAACACATTTTTTTTAAAGTTTAAAAATGTGTGTTGACATTTATAATAGTATACCACTCGAGATTAAATTATTAGACTTGTGTTTGTTTAGGCATACTTTGGTTACAGTAAACTAAAAAAAACAA